ACAAGCAGCGAGTAGCGACGGACAAGGGCAAGATGACAGCCACCCAGAGTAAGGCGACACAAACAACAACAACAACTACTACAACAAAGAAAAGTGCTAATAAACATTGATATGAGTGGTGACAATGATCAGTCTGGTGGTGTTATGTATACTTATGTTGAATCATATCTATATTACATAACTCGACATTAACTATGTCTTCTACGTGTAGATAATAAATAATGTTTGTTTAGAGTGATTGTGTGAATGTGTGAAGTTGCTCAGCTTGTTGTATGTGGCGCCAGAGTGGGGTTGGGGTCATTTGTGGACCAATGTTTTGCCTTTTATGGTCAAAATATACCCTCAGACATCGCTGAAGTGCGTCAACCACTTATTGATCAGGATGTTCGCAATGGTAAGTCTTTCTTGTGTCATAGACCGGGCGGGCTGGGGCTGCGGTGAGATTGGACTGAGTGAGTAGTGTGAGAGCATACACACCACAGTTGAAACTATCCCATTGTCTTGTATGGCCTTCAGGACGTTCGATGGTGGAGATGGCAAATATTGGAGGATCAGCTTGTATATATGCTTATCCATCTCGGCTTTGATTGTGGGATGCAGCAGGGCGCAGTTACCATCGGTCCAATAGTACAGAAATGAAGGAATAATCTCCAGGACCTTTTTAAATGACTCGGACGGTGGTGCTTTGTACGAATCAAGATACTTGATTCCAGTGTTATCGATAACAGCCATCACCCAATGATTCTTGCCAATGTTAATCGGAATCAACAAACGAGTTGCTGACATAAGACTGGCAGTGTACTGACGTCCCAACCTGAGCAATCTCTGATCACTGTTGTGCTTGGCGTGCTCTTTGGTTTTGATCATGGGAAGGATCTTGCCAAAGACATCAAACTGGTAACTGTTGAGTAAACATTGACTCTGACCAGAGTGTTTGAAGATAGTCGTTGATGGTTGTGTCATTGAGCCAATAGATTGTGCCATCCGTTGATGAGATGAGCCTCGTCTTCTTTTGATTGTCTTCATTCTTAGATTGAATGGATGCCTCTGTTGCCTCAACAGTGCCGACATCTGTGATGATTAGTCTCTTAAGTGCAATAAGTTGAAAATCTTGGAGTTCTGCTCCCTTTGCGAACTCCAACAGGTCTGCGCCATATTGGACCAGTCTGGCGGGGTTGGGCTGATTAGTCGCCAGTGTGGGACGGCTTGGTGGTGGTCCTGTGTTTGTTGGTTTGCCATCACGCTTGATAGATTCAATCATGTCGGTATCAATAATATCATTATTGGGCTTCGCTTGTGTCATGTCGCGTCGTTTCTGAACAACCAACGAGGGTAGTTTTGGGATTGACATGTCCAATGTCTCCAGTCGGACCTTGGGGATGAGCTTGGAGCTCAGGATAAAGTTGTCTGGGAGCCTGGGATAGTTTGAGAGTAAGGCCTTGAGCTCTCGCTTTCTCTTCTCTGCCAACTCCTTCCTGGGTTTCTTCTTAGGCTCACTCGCGGTGCCAGTTGGGCCCTTGGCCTTGGGATCGATCACCAGTTGATGGAACCGCCTCTCCATTTGCTCCACTGCGTCTTCATCGTTGGACATGAATGATGTCTCCCAATAGTTGAAGCCTTCTTCGCACATAGAGTACATATGACAGGAATTCCTTCAAGAGGGACAAACTTATTGAAGTATGAAGACTCGTCGTTGGGGGGGGGGGGGGG